ATCGTGACAACAGCGCATTCCATATGCATGCTAGAAACAGTGTTGGTAACACTGAATAAGATTTCATTCGTATATGATTACATTGCGACGTTGCCACGTTTCTGTGTATTATGTTAGAGAGGTTAGAAAATCTGTAATTTTACGCCAGTTTTAATGTTATTTCTAAAAATCAGGACAGTCGGTTTACTCAATTATTTTTTTAAATTATTCCAAAAGTATTAAACTTTAAAAGAGTATGATTTTTAAAAAAAGTTTAACTTTTTTACACAAGTTATTATCAAAATAGTGCACTTCACATAACTCTCCCCATAAGAGCCCATATAAAAACATGCAATTTCAACAATTAAATTCTCAAAAACGGGACAGTAAAAAATTTAAAAAAAATTTGTTCTATAATTTAGACATTCTTAACAACGAGTTTTTCCAAATTTCAAAAAATTCTTAACATTTTTATTTGAGTCACCATCCTCCTTAAGTATTGTTGACTCGAAAATCTAGTGTCTATTAAAAAATTAAAATACCAAGTCGTGTTTAGTGTAGTGTTTATCGTTCCGGGTTTTAAAGTCCGTATTCGTTAGGTTCAGGTGTTCGCGTCCCCCCTGCGTCAAATATTTATTTCATAAGTTTAAATTAATTCCAAGGTATATAAATGCAAAGTAAAATATAAATATGTTTAATAAAATATTTAATTATTTTTTTTAATTATATTTACTTTTTCTCTTTTATTGGATAATAAGAATTTGATTAAGAATTTCAAATAATTATGATACACAGTGTAAATATAATATTATTATCCTAGTCAATTTGACTATTTTTTCCTGACTACATCGACTAATTTTCCTGGTCACTTTAACTATGCTTGAATTTTATTACTTTGACTAGGATTCTATAGTTGGCTCCTCTCGTAACTAGGAAACCTATAGTCAATTCCTGGTATACGGGTCCTAGGCATTTTTTCGGTGTAATTTTTTTAAGAACTTGTAGTAAAAATTTGATAACAAAAAAAGGTGGTGTTTTTGAGAAAATTGATCTAATTTTATTTTCAGAAAATCATCCCCTATTTTTATAATTTTAAATATTTTTTCAAATTTCAAACTGGATTTTGAAGAGGACAAGACCATCTACAAGACCCAAGAAAGAAAATTGAATTATACTCAAAAGAAAAAGAATGCCAAGCAAACAATTTTTTTTCACTGTTCATTCGAGTTTTACCACTCAAAGTTCAAATGTGCGTAACTTCGTTAAATTTATCTTTTTAGAAAAATAAAAAAATACGTGTCTCTTTATTTTTCATGTACAATAACATATTTTAGCGACAGCTAAATCTACACTGAAAAAATTTAAAGCGGCCTGCTACTTTCAATGCGAGACAGCAGCGCGCTCTACCATAAAGGTTAGCAGTTAACCGCAAAAAGCGAGCATCTCTCTTTTTCGGGCTAGCAGTTAACCCTAAAAAGAGTAACTGCGTTCCTTTTGATAGAAGTGCACTGCTGTCACGCGTAAAAGAAAGCAGCGCTATCTACAAGGACAGCATCATCTGTCTTTAAATTTTTTCAGTGTACAACTTGAAGTTAGTCGACCTGCCTGATTTAAAATGGATTCAGTCACTGCAATATTACCTGGTAATATTACACTGTAATATTAACGTAATGTTAAGGTAATATTCAGATAAAATTAGAATAATTTTGTAATTTAGAAAAAAACATTTCACAAAGCTGGACTCGAACCCTGAACCATGTGCAAAGTAATCATGAGTCTTACCACTGAGCCAAACTTACTTGTAGTGTATTAAGATTCTCGACGGTATTATAATCTTTGTAAATTTTTTTAAAGTTCTTCATATTTCATGAAAAATCTTTATACACTGTAAGTAAGTTTGGCTTAGTGCGGTAAGACTCTTGATTACTGTGCACAAGGGTTCAAGTCCAGCTTTGTAAAATGTTTTTTTCTAAATTATAAAATTATTCTAATTTTATCTGAATATTACCTTAACATTACGTTAATATTACAGTGTAATATTACCTTAATATTCCTATGTAATATTCTCTTAATATAACAACGTAATATTACCTCCACCCCAGTAGCACGTAATGTTGGGAACATTCCAGCAACATTGAGGCAATATTGTTAATGTTAAGGCAGTGTTCTCAATATTTCTGTAAAATTACGTGCTACTGGGGCAGGCATACATTTTGATATCTCAGTAAGATCACTATAATATTACAGTGTAATATGACGAATCTCCAATGTAATATTACAGTGATGTCAAGATAAGCTTACGTGCTGCTTGGGAAACGAGTTTCTCTTAACTTGACTACTAAACATTGAAAAAAAGAGAACATGTATTATTATCGAAACTTCTATTAAATAAGAAATTTCGTCTATTGACCCTTTTTCCCCACTTTAGTAGTCAATTTTCTAGAAATACATTGTGAGTTTAACGAAAACTGGTATACAAAGTTTTTCCGTGTATGATTTGACTTTTAATTTATTGGTTTTAATAAAATCATTATCGTTTCCTCCCCAGTAAAGAAAGCAGGATTGGAAGAGAGCGAATAGTAAACATTGGCGGTGAGTTTCTGTCAATACGTTTTCGCGTGAAAACCGTATTGGGGGCATTCTGCCAATCCTGCTTTTTCACCGTCAATTCTGTCCTCTTGAATCTTTCGATTTCAAGTTTATTGACTCGACTTGAGTGTGTACTGTTGATCTATTACCACATGATTTAGGCAGCTTTCGACGTTCGCGCTAGGGGCGCTGTGAGTATAAGTCACAGCGCTAATCTAGAAAATACCATAAATCATATGGTAATAGACCAACAGTTTGTCACATTTCATTTTTTTACATTTTACACGGAGAAACTTTTAATACCACTAATTCTTAAAACTGGTGAGACATTTTAGTATGTTAGGTTAGATTCAAGGGAAAAACGACATAAGTTATAGAAATTGCTATTGAGACTATCAAAAACACTCATTCAGTATATATTTTACAGTTCTTCATAAGGAAACTAACGAAAATTAGTATGTTGTTTTAGAAAGAAAATAATAATTTTTGCAAAGTTGGGAAAGCCATGAATTAAAAAGAAACACAACAAATTAATTGTCTATAGATACTCATAGAGACGATAGTGAAACTTGGATCTGATGGTAGATGGCATTAGTGTATGTCACTGTAACTGTAGGTAAATATATTTAACACGACGTAAGAACCTAACCTATATTATTAACGCACACACGCACACGCAAGTAAAGACACGACGATTGGTCACGGAAACCGAAAGATCGCACGATTCGTTAGAAGTACACAGCTGAATCGTCCTTATATATTAAACGAGTGGAAAAATATGTGCCTTCGAGAGAGAGCATTTTTTAAAATAACTTACTAATCAAATTATGTAAATAAGTAAAAGTCGTGAAAAAAATTATGTTATATTGAGGAACAGTTCTTGAATTTAATTTGGCATGAGGAGACATTCACGTTTATTAATAAAAGGTTTTTTTCTTTCATACACGTGTGAATTTCATCTTCGAAAACATTAGGGTTAGTTCGCGACGTCAGGTGATGGACTCGGTGATGCTCGGGCGAAATCGGTTAAGTCCGCCCGCAGTCCTTCCAAAATTGGTATGTTACGTTAGAATGTCTGTTATATATTCTATCTATATGTGGAAAAAAGGTTAGAATTACCGTATTATTTCACAAACAAAAACTAGCATTTTATTCTTTTCTAAAGAAAAATAAGACTATTTCTAATGCAGATAGTAATTTTTGTACACCGAAGGTTGCTTAATATATAACGAGCTTATCATATTTTCGTATTAATGTTGAAATTATTAGCACAACGCACGAAAAATCCTCACATTCTAACGTACTTTTAGAATAAAGATAACCAAATATATTCAATATTAGAAGAAAAAGTTTCTCCGTGTAACAAAATTTTATATTTCCTGTTCGTTATCAGCATTTTTACACATTAAATCAATTAGTATTTTTGATTAAAATGCCAAATCGAGTCAATAAACAGTGAAAAAGCAGGATTGGAAGAATGCCCCCAATACGGTTTTCACGCGAAAACGTATTGGCAGAAACTCACCGCCAATACTATTCGCTCTCTTCCAATCCTGCTTTTTTTACTGGGTCTTATAATATTTCAGTTTTGTTGTCCCACTATTTCATTAATAAATAGTTATTAGTAAAATATAAAATTTAATTACAATTTTCACTGGTACACTGAAAAAAATGATATTGTCGATTTTGTCGTACGAGTATGGTTAGGACATAATATAGCTGAAACAGCAATACTGTATTTCTGTTCTGCAAATATAGTATTAGTGTTCTTCACATACTTATTACTGTCTCTCATATATACATATTATTGTTCTACACTGCGTATGGCTGTTCCATATCCACCAATATAATATGTGAGAATTGGCCATATTTATGGCAGTACCATAAATATATATTTTTTCACTGGTACGAAAATTTATTAGTAATATACGCAGAGAAAAATTTTATTTAAACCAATTGTAATTGAGTTCATGAGAATTATATTTGTCTCAAAAGCCTACTAAATTATTTATTTGTTTTAAATAAAAAATTTTTTCGTCACAAATAAAATTTCTTTTTAATCTATATAAAATTTATTTGAAAAATTCAAAATGTTTAATAGGCTTTAAGGGATGTTAAGAGACAAATATATCTTTTACTGAGTGTTCTCTTCGCAAATCCATACTTTTTTTACAGATAAATTCAAAGATGAAAGATGCTTAAAAAGTAAATAAATATTGATTGAAAATATGTCAAATAAAATAATAATAATTTTGTCATTTTTTAATCATTTTTCTATATAGTAGGAAAAAATATTTAAAGACCAAGATGATAAGGCATTTTTTTCGTTTACCAAAACGGCTACCCTGAGTACCCTTATACTTTAGAGGACTGATCAGTTATTAAACTCTCGTGCTGATTTATTGAGTGGACTCTCTATGAAGTCTGTAAACATTGTCAGTTAAAAGACAGTCACAATAAATTTCGAAGCTTCTCATCAATTTTTATTTTTCCTTGGATTTTTCAAAAGTATTAAAAAATAATTTTCGATTAAAAACTTTTTTTTGTAAAAAAATGCTATATTAATTGAAATTTGGTAAGATTTTCTTTAGTACTTTCTTTTACTTTTGACGTCTAAATATATACATTGAGTTTTATACGTTCAGTTAAACACACGTGGTTATGCAGCTGCTCCTGCTTCTCTAATCGCTTAAGACTATTCGATAATCGACGTTAGAGTTCTTAGTTATTCGTTATTACAGCGTATTACTGCATCGAACATCATAAATGTAAGAAACACATTTATAAATTTAAATATAGTTACATTATATATTTTCTCACTTAAAAATATATTAATCAAATTATTATTTATATTTAAATATTTTCAAAGTAGACCCTGCAACCGCAAGATTTGTTAAAATTTTCAGTTTATTATCCACTCAAAATAAAAGTAAGTCACTTCAATATTTTTATTCATTAGTGTTGGTTAATAATGACATAAATTTTTAAAATGTTTTGATGTCAAAGAAAATTAAATTATTTTTTTAAATATATGTATTAATTACCCAGTAAGAAACGAAAAATTGAAAAGGATTGAAATAATTCAAACTCTGTATGGTGTAGTAGAAATTATCCAATACTTTTGAATGCCATTTCTGTCCAATACTTTTCTATACCATGATAGGACCACGTTTCGTCTAAAAATGAATGCTATTCAATTCTTTTTGTAATTTTTAACAAAGACAAAATTTTTTTCTGAATGCTTTCCAATCCCATCCGAAATTATTACAGCCTGTCATTATATCACTTTTCAATTTTTCATTGGAACCGCGTTTCTGCATGCATTCAAGCAATCTTCTGGATTTTTGTAATTTATAAGATACATACAGTGGCAGATTTTGTAAAAAGTGTTTGTGTTCAAAGAAAAACTTGCTGAAAAATTGATTGTTTACCAATTTAACGTCATTTAAACGAGTCAGGGCCGTTATTCTGTTAGACAATAAATCATAACCTAAAAATTTCAGAGACCTTTAAACACTTTTAACCCTCTTAACTGATAATTTAATAATTATTCCTTTTTAAAATAGCAAATAAATTCATGAGTGCAGTTATTTGAAAGTAATTGAACATTCTATATGTCAACAATATTAGTATTATATTATTATACTACTGTCGCGGAATTCAGAAGCATAGGGCAGAAATGGTATTCAAAAGGATAGAATTTTTTTAATGCTTCTTAATCTTTGCTTTCTTACTGGGTATTCAAGAGGATTGATATCGTTACTATTTATATTGCTCTCACTGGATAGAAAAGTATTGGACAGAAATGGCATTCAAAAGAATAGAATCTTTTTAATACTTTTCAATTTTTCGTTTCTTACTGGGTAGTAAGTAATAAATTAGAATCATTAATGAGTCAAAACGCGTCAACCGTGAATACATTTTTTTTATAGTTTTGGAAAAGTCAAAACATTTATGAAAATCTGTAGTTCACAGCAAACCAAAAAAACACTTTTAACCGTTTTTCAAATTTTTAAATATTTATACCTTTTTTTATAATAAAAAATTTTTGCATTATTTTAGAAAAAAATTAATAACTCATTACTGTTTTGCTAGAAATTAATGGCAATTTTTTTTGTAGTCATTGAATATCCACTCTTTTAAATAAACTTAATGGTGAAAAAAAATTTTGAAAAATTTTTAATTTTTAATAACAATTTTATAAACAATTAGTGTTTTTTATGCTTTCTAGAGCAAGGATTTTAATGAAATTTATATGTAAGATACATTGAACCTACATCTTTATATTCCCGAAAAAAAAATTTTGTATTTCCAATTACAACCGGAGATTTTGAATTTTTTGTTGCGCCGTGCGCAGTCTGCTCGTTTACCGCGGCATTTATCACAGCGATGGATGCCACGATGACGGCGCACGGCGCAACAAAAAATTCAAAATCTCCGGTTGTAATTGGAAATACAAATTTTTTTTTTCGGGAATATAAAGATGTAGGTTCAATGTATCTTACATATAAATTTCATTAAAATCCTTGCTTTAGAAAGCATAAAAAACACTAATTGTTCATAAAATTGTTATTAAAAATTAAAAATTTTTCAAAATTTTTTTTCACTATTAAGTTTATTTAAAAGAGTGGATATTCAATGACTACCAAAAAAATTGCCATTAATTTCTAGCAAAACAGTAATGAGTTATTAATTTTTTTCTAGAATAATGCAAATATCTCGGAAATATTCACTATTCACGGTTGACGCGTTTTGACTCTAATTTAATTCAAATCATTTACTTTAGTACATCAGAACCATCTTTTTTATCAATACATAACCTTAATTATCAAATAAATAAGTATTAACACCGATGAGGGTTAACCTCTTATGTAAATAATTTAATTTTTATACCATAAATAAGATAAAAAAATGTATTAATAGTAGAGGAACCTGTCGATATGAATATTACTTTTTTGAGTTCAATGTTTATTGACAATTATTAACTAATATTAATATTATTTGTTTAATTAGGGTTAAGTGGGGTAATTGGAAACAGATTTCTCGTTTTCACCAATAATGTCAGTTTTTTTATATTTATAAATGCAATAGCTTCGGGTTTCCTCTTATTATGTCAACTCCCCAAACAAATTTATGGGCTAGTAGAAAGTATACATATATATGCCCTTAGATTGCTAAAATTGTTTGTTTCCAATTAGCCATGTATTTTGCTAAAAACGCAAGGGGAATTGGAAATAAAGTTGTATCTAAAAAAGGTGCGTGTGAGAAAATAGTTACTTCAACTGTACTATACTGTATTAAAGTATGTAAAAACTTGGAAAAAATATATGTGTAGTAGAGGAGTTAAATTTTGCATAAATGATTTTTTAGACAATATAATCCGCTTAGATGCGAATATTTGTATATCAATATTGTAGGGCAACTTGTCCTCTACAACTTTCAATAAAAAAGTTTCTGATATTTTCGCATAAAATACATGTTTTGTCCTTTTTTGAAAATTTTGTTTTTTTAACTTTTCGCCCCATGCTGGGCCGAAAAGTTAAATGGCTGGGGCTAAATGTTAAATTCTATTTTTAGCCTACTAAAACTATTTTCTGATAGGTGTTAAGTAGTAGATAAGTTAAAGTATACGTAAACAAGTAATTTAGTTAATAAAATATCTGTGTTTACTTAACAAAAGCTTTAGAACAGTTATAAAGTTAATAAACTAAAATTTCAAAAAAAGGCCGTAGCAGTATAAGCATGTAAAAAGTGGGGACGCATGAATATTCCCCACATTGAACTTGCAACAATTTTTGTGGTATCGAAATAAAAAACTTAAAATATCTATACTTATCAGAACTGCAATAATTCGAGTTTTCTTTTAAACAAATTCTTATCACAAGAAATTAGTATTTGAAGAAATATTTATTAAATACATTTTTTATTTGACTGCATTTCAATTTATAAAAATATCCATGAAGAAAAATATGAAAGAATAGAACATTTAGTTTTTCAAAGTTTTTTACAGTATGTATTTTAAAAAATAAAAATTTTGCTCAAATGAAATTTTAAATACATAAAAATTTATATAAAGGGATTATAACCTAAATGATTTGTCAATTATCAGAATTTGTATATCGCAGCATTTCTATATTAAGCCCTAAGCACAACTGAGTCGGGTGCGGGAGACGACTTCGGGATATGGGCTTCCTAACCTCAAAATGTATGTAAATCTTACATATCCCGTAACCGTCTCCCGAACCCAACTCAGTTGTGCTTAGGCCTTTATCGAATTTTTATGTAACGTATAATACAAAAAAAGTATTACACCGAGGAAGTATATAAAGTTGGGAAAATTCTAAGATAGCCTTTTCTCGAATTTTTGTAAAAAAATAAATAGATTTTAAATGAAATGTAATTGAAATTGAAATAATTTAGCCAATGAGAGAGAAGTAATATGGCGACTGGAATTTGCGTTACGAACGTAAGTCTCACTGAAAAAAAAGACAATCGGCAAATTTAAATAACACGACAATGAAATTAGTTTGAAAATATTAGAGTTCAGTCTAAACAAAAGTTTATATAATAATGAAAAAATCATTAAAAGCAATATTTCCAAAAGAAATAATGCAATAATATTAAGTTCAATGTGAAACAAATAAGCAAGAAAATCAAATGGACGTATTATTCCATCAAAAAAAGGTAAGTGGGAAATTGATAAAATAATGTCAAAAATTGGGGTTAACAAAATGTAAACAAAACATTTTTAAAAACATTTAAATCTAAAAAAAATTTTTATTAGTAACTAATTAATTATTAATTCATTATTTACTAATTTAAAAAGAAATTATTTATAAACAGTAAATAAAAAAAAATTAAATAATATTAGTAAATTAAATTACTTTCTAGTAAATTAAATTAATAAAAAAAATTTAATAGTTTAGTTTTGGATAAATATTTTTTTAAATAGTCCATCAACAGCTGCCATCTCGTAGCGCTTCTTAATATTACAAATTTATTTTTTCTTTAATAATTATCAATTTAATTAATTAGAATACATAATTAAACCATTAATTAAATAAACAAAAAAATTAATTAATTCGAATAAATAATTAAACAATTAATTAATTCAACAAAAAAATTCATTAATTAATTTTATATTTAAAAATTATTGTTAATTAATTTAATTATTCATTAATTCTACAAATTCTCTATTATTAATGAATTATCATAAATTAATTATGTTGAAAAATTAATTACAATATCATACTCATGAACAAACATTTTTCTAATGTTCCATCAGCAGCTGCCATCTCGCGGCGCTTTTTTTCATTGCAAATCTATTTCTTCATTAGGAACAATTATTTTTTATTAAAATTATTTAATTAATAAAAACAAGAATTTTAATTTCCTTTTAATTTCAGTTTATAAATAAATTAAAAGAAAATCCTTAAAAAATAAAAAAAAATAAATAAAAAAAAAATATAAAATCCTGAAATTAATCCACGGATTAATTTCAGGATCAATTTTTTTTGGCCTGTCAAAATGAATTTCACTTAAATAATTAATTACTGCAAAGGTTGACATCACTTGAGATGGCTCAGTGGCGATCATAACAGACTTGTAAATTTGAAGTTTGCGTACGACTCCTGGGTTTGTTGAAATTTCTTTTTTCTGTTTCCTTTTATTAAATTTTGCATTTAATTTTTCAGTGATAAAAATAATATTGGCAAAAATATAGGCAAAGTATGGGAGAAAAAAAATCGATTTTTTATTATTTTTTATA